TATATATATTCCCTAAATCTATTTTTGTTAGGCTTGGCATCATGCCTCAGTGTATAAAGTTTTCTTAAGTAAATCGTTTTTTGTTCAGCTGTTGTAAGGTTTCTTACCTGGAGATCTTGCCAGTTACAGCATTTCCTTTCTTAGACTTCAGTTGGCTGTTGAGTTGCCTATTTCATGGACCTGATAGGCAGTGGAAAAGCCAAATGAAGACAAGCTCATGGCAGGCTGACAACATTGCTGCTAATTGTGAGGAAGAACCTTAGCGTTGGCAGCCCAAGACTGGAAATACTGTTTAGAAACCTTTCAACAGATTGATAAAAATTCAACATATAACCACTTACCGGTGTCTCATTGCTGTAGGCAATAATCTCAAGCACACAGTTTTTCTCCATGGTGTCCACACCAGACAGATCATACAGAGAAGAGTGGACAGGCCCATAAGCCCATTCGGTGAACTTTCTAGAGAGATGTCGGCACTCTGGATTCTTTATTTCCCTCCGAAGGATATACGCAAACACCTGGAGAGGTATAAATAATATGGCACGACTAAATTCATGTGTCAAAACATGTTTTGGACAAATATTGCACAACCAACCAGTGCACATCACTTACCCCAATTTTGCCAGTTTTTGCTGCTAGAGTTAAAGGAGTGAGACCTTTCTTATTGGCAATATCCTCCAGTCTCAGGGAAGGCTTTATCTGTGCACCCAGTACCAAAATTTCTGAATACATCTTGGTAAGAAACTTTGTGTTCTCCACAGTGTTGTCTGCAATGTCAACCAGTGAGTGCAGCACTGTGTTTCCGAAGGAGTCACGGGCGGCAATGTTGGCTGGAGAGTACTGGTTCTGAAGAAGGTATTGGACTATCTGTATCTGGTTTGTACACGCTGCTAAAGACAGAGGCAGTTCCCCTAGATAACAGAAAACCACCATGTAAGTTACTACTATGATAAACTATATTGTAGGAAGCATAGAACTATACTCACAATTATTCTCAAGGCTGTAATGTTTAGTCATTCAGGGGACTGTATTGAGGTTTTGTATGTATTATGGTTAGGGCTAATATTTTGTTTTTGTAGTCAGTTCAATAAAACATATTGTGTAGTATTATTATTGTTTAATTTCACCTTCAGTCAGAAGGTGGAGCATTTGGTTTCTTTTCTTATTCATTTTGCATTTTCTTCTACCAGCTGTTGTTTACAGAGCTCCATAGCTCAAGCTGAATTTTGTACACACAGTCAAATCATTTAGGGCATAAGGGACTCCTTCCTGATTACCAGCTCACATTAAGGTTTTCGTATGAGTAAGTGTTTTAGGTACCCTAAAGGGACACTTAATGTGCTGTGCTTTCTCTTTAAGTTACCCATAATGCTCTGTCAATTATTTGTTATGTATTTCATGTATCCATACATCAGTTTAAAACATAAAAACCTATAAAGTAACAATAAAATATACCCAAAACCATTATAGAAGATCTAAACCCTCACAGGATGGGAATTAGTTTGCTAAAGCACTGATTTTTATTTAAATAAAACACTGTTTTTACCAGTGCTGATGATCTCCTACAGCCTCTTTACAGCCATTTCCTGTCCTTATGCATTTGCGTCAGCGCTAGTGCATATCATTGCTCTGGACTAGGGATGAGCTCAGGTTTGATCTGAACATAAGTTCATGCACGCTGTCAGTGCCAGCCCAATCAACTGTGGCCAGGGCATATTCCCGTTTCCAGTCAGCTGCACATTAACAAAAGGATGGGATGTTGGTGACATTATAGGGCCCTGGGGCAAATTTGGTCAATAACTTATAAACTAATAGGGCCTTGTGGCCATATAAGGTAAATTATATCATCAGCACCCCGTCCCTTGCTCAAGTGCAGCTGCAGGGTGGGGATTGCCCCTGCAGCAGGGGATTGGTCCAGCACTGACAGTTTCTTCAGGTTCAGATGAACATGGACAAACGCAAGCTCATCCTTACTCTGGACCATGTGAAAAGCAAACTCGTGTGTATTTATCTGCACATGATGATTGGAGTATTGAAATGAAACTTCACTCTTTTTTTTGTGTAAACCTTCTCAACTCCTTTAGTAAATCTTCCTCATAATCTATATTATTTTAACTAAGTACAATACTGTAGACATTTTTCTCACCAAAGTAGAATCCAGCCCTTCCTTTGGCTTTCCTGAAGAATTCCCCATCTGCTCTTGCATGAACATCAGCTCCATATTGTACCAAGAGCTCCACCAGGGTCATGTTCCTTCGTTCAATAGCAACATGAAGAGCAGTCTGACCTGGTGAAAAAGAAGTAGGCACTACATTCACCAACCCCAACCATAAATATAAGACAATTATCAGCTTCTGGACTTTACAGTCTAACTGAACTGGTATTTTAGATCTGGGTAGATGCTGGCAGGTTAAATCATATGATTTATATCTTTTACAAATTTATGTATCCAAGTTTCCAAATAAACCTGGTGCAGCTACTATGAGAGACTGTTCCTTCCCTTTTTGGAGTTTCCCTTTATTTTTTTGTGAAGGAGGATATGATAGGGTAAATTATATTGTGAGACTCCTAACAAAAGGATGTAGTGCAGAGACTCTAATCAGAAGATCTCCATGCTAGGGTATATTTTAGCAATATAAGAGGCCAAGTTAACATCTATTCCACCAGTATTAAACCATTACAAATTTTAATTGTCTCACCATTTATCAGCAAGTGATAAAACAGCTGTCCTCAGACACCAGTGAGAGAAATGTTTACATTGTCGGCTCTTTGACTGACAATAAGCCAAAATAGATCTTTGGAAGTCTTTTATATTAAAAATTAAAAAGTATAGATCAAGCTCTTTATCAGCATAGATAAAATAAATTCCACTGTATTTCATAGTTGCGGTTTACTATGTACGCATTAAACAATTTCCAATTCAGAACTTTTCCAAACTTTGACACAACCAACTTTCTAGTAAAAAAAAGTCAAAATTAACTGTCCAGGACTTCCCCTGAGCTGGCCATGCACAGGGAAATTTGATAGAGCGACTTAACTTGGTTCTATTTTTTGGCAAAATCACAAAGCAATCTATCAGACCAGTGGTCAATCAACTGCAGGGAGATCAAAATTGACCTGATCGAACCAGGTGGAAGAATCAGATTGTTTTTGAAGTTTCCAAAGTCTTCCATTTTCAATTTAATTTTTCAATAAACTGTATTTAAGCTGTCAATGTATTGCCTAGATTCAAGGACATAACTACAAATCATGGGGCCCCATAAAAAAAGTTTGGGGCACCTGACTAACTCTCTCTGTAGCGGCTGGCAGTGTAAAACTGTGACAATATGTGTGATTGGTCTTAACATGAAACAGCAAATGAATAAGAATCACCAGCACTCAGTAAAAGATTTTGAAGTGATAAAGTCCATTTAAGCGGACAGATTGTCATACATGTTGCAATAATTATAACCGACGTTTGGAGACCACGTAGGGACCCTTCATCAGGGCAACTATGTAACACAACATGTGTGTTACATAGTTGCCCTGATGAAGGGTCCCTACGTGGCCCCGAAACATCAGTTATAATTATTGCAACATGTATGACAATCTGTCTGATTAAATGGACTTTATCATTTGTAATATTTTACTGAGTGCTGGTGATTCCTATTCATTTGCTGTTTGATGTGCACGGCGCCATCCGTGAGTATCACTACAAGCACCATTATTGTGATTTTTGGCCGGAGAGTGCAGGGGGGCATATTGGAATTTAATTATCTTAACATGAAGTATGTATGAAGGTCAGACATCAGGAGAGCTATCAGTGCAAAGCGTTGGATGCAATGGTGTAAAGCACGCCGCCACTGGACACTAGAGAAGTGGAGACGTGTTCTCTGGAGTGACGAATCACGCTTCTCTGTCTGGCAATCCGATGGACGTGTCGGGGTCTGGCGGTTGCCAGGAGAACGGTACTTGCCTGACTGCATTGTGCCAAGTGTAAAGTTTGGTGGAGGGGGAATTAGGGTGTGGGGTTGTTGTTTAGGGGTTGGGCTTGGCCCCTTAGTTCCAGTGAAGGGAACTCTTAAGGCATACGCAGACTAAGACAGTTTGGGCAATTTCATGCTCCCAACTTTGTGGGAACAGTTTGGGGATGGCCCCTTCCTGTTCCAACATGACTGCGCATCAGTGCACAAAGCAAGGTCCATAAAGACATGGATGAGAGAGTTTGGGGTGGGGGAACTTTACTGGCCGACTAACAAGATACTGAAGCTTGGCCCAGTGGGAGATTCCTCCATCCACACAGTTCAGCGTAGATGGAGGAATCTGTTGCACTTTTTCCGTCTGACCATAGAAAATCTGCAGATAATCTATAAGTGTATGGCCAGCTTAATACAAACCTCTTTAAATGTCTTTGTAGAACAACAAACAATAAATCTATACTTCTAGTGTTGATCAGCAAATGCTTCTTACAATTTAGTTTTCTTATTCAGTTCCCTCTAATGGGGTCCCCTCCTACCCTAGGCCCCTTAGCAGCTGCCTGGGCTGCTATGGCTATTGTTGCCACTGCCCAGAATAGAATGTAGTTTAAATTTTGGCTTGGGTCTTATGAAGCTGCATTTGGCAATGTTCACATCTGCACATTGCAGGTGTAATACATTGGAAACAGTCCTGCTAAATACACCTTTGAAGCATGTCATTTGCACGGCACATGGAAACACATTTAAAAATGCATATCCACACTGTACCCACAAAACACATAGGTGTCAACAGAGCCTTTGAGTTACTTTCAAGTCTGACACCCATGTACACAAACTTAACAGCCATGCAACTGATCTGCCTTACAATATGACTGAAAAATGTGTTGGAAATACAACAGCAAATATTATGGGGTTATTCACAAAGCTGCCGAGGGCAGCAGTGTGAATAACCGACCCGAAGTGAAGTGAGCCGAAAGCTGGTCGGCTATTCACTTCAGGCTTGTACGGCTGATTTCACCACCAACACACATACACCAACTGAAATCAGCCATATATCGGCTTGCTGCGGCTGGGTTCGGGTCGGCCGACCCGAAGTGCAGAAGGAGTTCGACTCAGCCGATCCAACATCTGGACATCAACAGCAGTGAGTGAATAGCCAAATGCCGCCGAGCAGCATTCGGCTCCGCTATTCTGCTCGGTACCTCTGTTACCAAGTAACCAGGGGATGCTGAACTGTCAGTACCATGAGAGCTCAGCAGAGTCGGCTTTCATATCACCTCCGGCTCTGCTAAGCTTTCATTGTAATTCAGGGGGGAGAGAGCACCCCCCTGAAATGATGGCAGATAGCAGAGGAAGCAATAGCTTCTTTGCTATCTGCAAGTTGTTGTTTTTTTAGTATTCTGACAGCTGCTGCATAGGAATGCATAGCTAGATTCCTATTGGCTATTTCAATTTGCAAAATCCAATAGCAAGCTAGCTATTGCACCCGCCCCCTGCTGTTGTCAATCACTAGAAGAGGACCTGATGAAGAACTTCAGGTCCCCTCTGCTGAGTGTCAGCAGCAGTGGGCGGGTGCAATAGCTAGTTTGCTTGTTGGCTATTGCAAAGCTCCGATGTCAAAAGAAAAAAAAACAAAACAGAGCAGGGAAAGGTTTACTCTGCTTGATCGAGCAGAGTAAACCTTTCCGTGAGAAAGTGTTTCTCACCCAGGCAGCCGGGAGACGCTATCTAATAGCGGGAGACTCCTGGAGCGTCCGGGAGAGTTGGGATGTCTGGTAATGACAGATCAGCGTCCCTGGTTACCTGGTAACCAGTTGACGCTGATCTGTCTCTGCAAGTGGCCGGAGCCAGCCGTGACCCGTTCGACCAGCTTCAGCTTTCAGCTTAGTCGAGCCCAGGCTTATGCCTTCGACTGAGCCGCTCTGCCAACTTCGTGAGCTGTATGGGCTATAGTAAATAGCCCGTACAGCAGCCCTTGGGTCCTGGGGCCGAAGCTAGCTGAAGGATCAGCCCAAGCTGCGGCTAGATCCTTCGGCAGCTTTGTGAATAGACTCCTGTGTCTTTTGAGCTGTAGGTGGCGCTGTAGTGCAATGTTAGTCTTTATGTGTATGCATATTTATCTATGATATATACAGGAAGTTCTCTCTGTAAGCTGTATAATGCTGTATTCTGATGTAATGTCCTTCTAAGCAAGTAAAACTTAATTCAGCAATTCAGCATTCCTCAAGATCTCAGTGCTTCATCTAAACACATAACCAACAAAATGTACAGTCCAGCTCCAAAACTTTGGAGAGTTCACGTCAATGATTGACTTATCAATGATGTTAGGTGGAAGCCTAAGTGAATGGCGTGCACCCTTCCCAGCCATCTATTGAGTGACAATGAATGCAGATCTTGTTCTGTAGGATGCAACCCCAGGCTGGACTATGTAACATAACGATACAACAAAAACATAAAGGCTTTAGTACTATACATTAACTGTATATTTATACTGCAGACAATACAGGCATTTCTTACCTCTGTAATAGGTGTCTGTGTAAGCTGCGTTGATGAATTCTTTCAAATTGTCTGTCTTCTCTGCAATTTCTAATAAGAGTGGAATGGTATAGTTTTTTCCATGATTCAGATTCAGAATGGCTTTTAGTAGACAAGTTTTCCCTGTTTCTGGTTCTGTTGAATAAAAATTATAATAAACTCAGTTCTGTTTTTATTACACATAGGAAAGATATCAGTGCCTTACCTTTAAATTCTTTATCGGTAAGATGTTTCTGAGTACGGAGTAAATAAACCAGAAGATCATCTAATTCTTGACAGTCCCCATAGGCCACAGCATCAAAAATCCTGGTCCGATCGTACAACTTGAATGTTCTGTCCTTACAGCTGTTTGTGGATTCTACAGAGGAACTTTGCCTGTTGCAATACAGTAAATAGAGTGTTAACACATACTTCTTTATCTGTCTGATCAAACGTCATTAAACCTGTGTTATTTCTCCAACAGCCACAAAATATAAATTCATCTTATATATATATCTTCATCAATATAAAAAACTTAATGTATGTTACTCCACTCATCTGGCTGTCATAAAATAATTCACTCAATGAAAAACTGATTTAAGCAGAAGGAGAAGAAAACTTGCCGCACCTTATTTCTTTTCATGCTTTGGATGTAATTGCTCACTGCAGAAGGGAGAAGGAACATATGCAGGGATGTCTAGGATTCATTTGACACCAGTTGCTGGTTTGAAGAAATCTACATACACCTTGTCAGGCACAATGTTGGAAATTTGAAAGGTCTATATAGGTTTCTGCTAGATGCCTCAGGGAGGAGCAGGAGAAAGGAAAATGTAGAATATAAGCCTGCAAACTTGCTTTATTTGCCTATGTATATCTATGCGTGTGAGATATGTATGTGTTTATATTTCATAAGTGTGCATTTTCGTGTGTTCAGAACCACCCAGGGCCACATCTATAATGAGGCAGCCTGAGGCACTTTCCTCAGGCAGCATCTCATTGGGTCACGTGCAGGTGGGGGTCAAGTGCGGGCCACCCCCTTTACGTGCAGAGCATTTCAGGTTGTTAGGAGCTCTTAGCAACCTGTGATGCTCTGTCCGGTATCCCACCCACCTCACTGTCATCACTGGTTGCCAGGAGCTGAGCAGTACGCTCTGGCTGGTGTTCAGTCCAGCTCCTGGTAAAGAGTGACATCAGTGAGCTGGGTGGACACCGGACAGAGGCCAGGGGTACTGTGCGCCACCAACACCCACAAACTACACCAGAAATGTGTACCGCCAGCAACTCCCCCCGGTGACATGCACCAGGAGCACCCTTGAAACCAACCCAATGTTGTTTTATAGAACAATAATCAGTTGTCCAGCAAAATCCAACTCAGCCCATACTTTTCCGATCAGAATCTAATTCCAGGAATGACTGTTGAAAGGATTTATAAATGTTGAAAGCCTCTGGGAATGATCATCTTACATATTGGTGCCTTCAGTAGAACTGATGTGCAAAGGGTGTTGTGGGATGTTTCTATAAAAGTTTTCAATTCAAAGCAATAGACACATCTACAGTCCCTATCACCACAGTTTTTAAGCTCTCTAAATATAACCTTTACATTTTTTCAGCTACTAAAGTTACTATATGCAAATAACCAAATCTCCTAAACTCCTAGAAGAATTTGCTTTCAATGGTGGCTCTGCTTTAAAATTATTGGGCAGATACAGAATCATGATGAACACAGGAAGTACAGGAAAGAAACACAAGAAATATTACTTCATAGAAGAACCTTTTTATGCTCTGATATGACATGATAAGAAGAAGTAGCCATGGAAACAATCTAGATTTTTTTACATTTTCTAACTGCTAGAGGGATGAGGACGTCAAAAAACAGTGTATGTATTTTCCAACATAAAGCATGGCCTACATAGCGAACCTAAGGAAGTTTTAAGACATTGCATATTATTGGTTAGTGTTCATCATATCAAATTGCTGATTGGTGAATTGCTTCCTTAAAGTTTATTGGCACGAGAGAAATATATAGGCTGCCATTACCAGCCTCCCTTTGCAAATGCCAGTTGCCTTCTCGTGTCTAGCTTAAATACTTCTGGGTCACTGACCCGGAACAAGCATGCATCAAATGGAAGTAAAAGTAGATTTCCATATCTTTATGATTGTTCCATGTCAGTTATTTGGAAAGTGCTGAAACAAAAGTATAAGCAAGATGACCAAAAAACTAGCAAAAGGAAAGAACAGCAACAGTATCTTACTATTATTTTGTAGAGTGGTAAAGTTTAACAAACTTGAGTGTATGCTAAACCTTTAACAATTAACTTTTTCTTTGCTCCCTTTTGGTCTGTTAAATATGTAATGAAAAGTGTTTTGTTATATCTCTTTGATAAGTGCAAAAATATCTGTTGATATATCTGGCAGAAATTCAGTGAGCTCCTAAATTCCTGTATACTGTCTCTGCTTCACTGAAATCTAAAGCCATTTTATCAACCCTACCCAACTAACATCTGCGGACTACAGAACACCTACCCTATGTCAAATCTCATTTCCATCTGGCTGAGGTATTTAAAAAAAAAAAACATATGCCAGCAATATACACCAAGTGTGCATAAAGCAGGCATATGCAGTTGCTGTGCATGAAAACAGAAACTTACATTTTTTGCTTTCCCTGTTTATCTCCTCATGGAAATGGCTCTGGCTCCAAATGTGCTTTGCAAGTAATGTGTATATAGTAAAAGTGACCTCTTCCCTCCACCACCCCCTATTCATTAATATTTATACTGGCAACCCCTCCTCCCCAGAAAGCGTATTGTGTGCAAAGGCAGAGATGCTGTTTACTGATCATGTTACAATGAATAACAGGGAGGGGGAGAGCTGTTTAGAGTTTACTTTACATCTGACCCCAGTGTCAGACTGAGTTTCCTGTGGAGCAAATTTTGAATTTCTAGGCTTCGGGCCTAATAAAAACTTCATAAAAAAAATGAAGAAAGCCTAAAATGTGGGTCATGAAAATGTGCACATGTATACATCATCACCGCACCTCTACATTACCACAATAAATGCTAACCACTTACAAAAGTGGAAATGGACTTTAAGAAGATGAGGAGAGGGAAAGTGTTCTGTAATCCATATTCACTTCCTGTCTTGGAGTGGGGTGCATCTTGGCACCCTAGGAGAGGAATTGTGTTACTGGCAAGCTCACCAGGTGAAAAAAAAAAGCCTCAAAAGAGAAAACGAATGCAGCCACCACATACTGCATAAGAACTAATAGGCTGCAATATGTTTCCTTTATGTTCTTGGGTTTAAATACACTTTATAAATGCTCTGAAGCAAGTGACCAATACCAACCTGGTTAACTGGTTACCCTGTTTTCCTTTTTCAATGTTTACATGGAACTTAATTGTTGGAGACATCATTTTGCTTTCTACTTGATAGACAGAGTCCATGGGGGCCATTTCTCGTTCAGTGTCTGCTTTGCCAAAACGTCGACCTCTAGGTTTTGGTGAACCAAAGATGGCGTACTTGGCTTGTTTTATTTTTATGCATTGACTGTTTTCATGGGCGGAATGACTGTTTTCTTCGCTGTGTGAGTCATCAGCAGAAGCATTCGTCTCCTCAGTGTGGTCTGTTTCCTCAAGATCTGAGGAGCTCCCCATCTTCCTCATTTTAGCTAGCCTGTAGGAAAAAAAAAAAAGGCAGGTATGGTTCTACATACCATCACTGAACTGTCAGCACAGTACTCAACTAATGCTTTGTAGGGTGAGGACATGCAAAAGTATTACCAAATCCTGCTGCAAACTGAGTATCATTGCAGGCACGGATTATGACTTCCACAAATGCATTGTTTCAAATAACTTAGATTCCTTGGCAGGTTATTTATCATCTTGAATGGTAATTTTAAAACAATCAATTACATATATTTTATGTCCTCCTGTCAAATTACTAAGTAGGTTACTTTGGTTCACATTTTTTACATTTTAGATGTAACGTTTCCTGTAAATAAAATATATACCAACTCAATTTTATTAGACCCACTAAATATTAGTTAGCAATGGTGGAAGGTAAGGTCTTTTCAGCATTAAGCCATATGTACCATGGATTAACAATAGGGATCATCTTGGACTTAATGCAAACCTGAACTCATGTAAATGCAGAAGTTAGGCATCAATGCACACCCAATCAGCTGCAGCTGGGTCATTCCGCCCTGCAGCCACACATAAACAAAGGGGCAGGATGCTGGTGACATCATTGAGCCTATCTGGCCACATGGCCATGATAAATCAATATCATTGACCATATATGGCCATGTATCCTTATAAGGCTGATGATTTCACCAGCATCCACCCCTTTCTTTACATGTGGCTGCCTGGTGGAGAATACCCGGGCCGCAGCTGACTGGGCATGCAATGATGCCTAACTTCCATGTTTGCATGGGTTTGGCTTTGCTCATCCCTAATTATCAACAACAGAATCAAACATTAGTGAAACGGGTTTACACTCTTTTTCAGACTCTTCAACATGATCCACTAAATAATGTACAAAATATACTAGTCAGCTGGTTACCTGGTCCAGCTAGCCAATTATCTCTTGTGAAGGGTTTTCTTATACATTAGCACATTTAAATCAGAAGGGTAGGGAGACAATCTGAACAATGAAATGTGTATCTCACAGAATGAGTCAAGCATCATGTTTGAAGAACTCTCAAAAGTGGGTGAGCACAGTGTCAGATGTTTTCAAGTACAAATCCAAGTTGAAGGTGACATATTCTAGAAACTGTGTGTCTTTCCTTCTATTTCTAATCAATCTTCACATTACGTGTTATACTGATATTAAAGTGACACTAAACTCAGGAGTTAAATCTTAAAAATGCATTTAAGTACCTTAACTATTAACACAAAATGTATCTTATTTGTGTATCACTTGGCTGTAGATCCTCAAATAATCCCTGAATTGCTGCTGACACTGTCCTTCCTTCTGGAGGGTGGCTACTTTTGTTCCCCATGGTCCCCAAGTGTTGTAAAGTAGCCACTGCTCCAAGCTCTCTCCCATGATGGACTACAATCTCATGTTTAGTTACTAATTTGAATTGAGATTGTAGTCCATCATTAGAGGAAGCTTGGAGCGGTGGCTACTTTACAACACACACAGGGACCATGGGGAACAAAAGTAGCTACCCTCCTGAAGGAAGGACAGTGTCAGCACCACTTCAGAGATGATTTGAGGATCTACAGCCGAGTGATACACAAATAAGATGCATTTTTTTAAATAGTTAAGGTACTTGAATGTATTTTTAAGATTTAACTTCGGAGTATAGTGTCACTTTAATTAATCCTTCAAATTGTATACAATTTTAAGTCCTAAATCACAATCTGGTACTCTGATGAGTTTGTAATTCTATAAAATAACATGTTTACATTGCATTGGTTCAAAATATTTCTTTATGTTTACATTGCTTATTGAACAACAACACGGGTATATTTTGTATCAGAAGCCAATGACTAAATATTATTTGGTGAATTTGCTGGGTGCAAACCAACCAAGCAAGCTGTAAAAGGTTGTCAAATTTGTAAAATGTTCTCATCTGTTATTTCTCAAAACATCCCAACTGATATGGATGCTAATGAGAGAAAAAAAAGGTGTGGAATCTAGCTATTCACTTAGGTAACACTTATTTACAAAGATCATCTTCTAATCAATAAAATTGGTATATTCATGAAAATGGATTCTCATAAATTGTCTTTTCTGGTTCAACTACCTTGAAACAATATTTTCCACAAATGCTTGATGATGTTGAAAATATAGATTTTGCTTGTCTTTCAGCAATAAGGCATTATTGAATTCTAGGAAGATTGCTCAGCCACTTTAATATCCAGAAAATGATAATAATATTACCAAGATACAATAGTTTCCACATACGGTATGTCTGAAAGCAGATGCTGAAAATATAGATTCTGATTATCTTTTAGGTAAGCTAATGCAATCCATGTAAAGCATTGCTGGACTGCAAAAAAGCTACACAACCACTTTAATATTCATCAAATGATAATAATAGCATACATTACGAAGGCATAATAAATGAGTTCCGTGTGTATGGAATACCAGCTTTAAATACGATGCTGCTGGAAATAAATACCTAAGAGATTTGTTCATACATTACTCACAACTCCGAACTATTTCTTTTACATAATTTACTAGACCATTATGAGGTTTTACATATGTCGCTAAACTGACCTAAATAGGAAATCCACACAGAATGCAGGCGTATGCTTTCCAGCAAACATTGGTCTAGTTGCAGGTCTTTACTAATTGCATGGTGATAATGAGGCAGCAATTGTAAAAATAAAGATCAACAATAAATTTCAGACATAGTAGCCCTGGTATTCATGCTTAATAGCAATGTGTATTTTTGGGGCTGATTTACAAACATTAGTGCAAACTGGTAAGTTTTTCATATCAGTCTATTTTGTTGTATCACAGCTAAATGAAGAATATAGTCTGATTGCTATGAGCCACAGTTAGGCTGAAAAAACCTAGTCTCTGTTTTCTTTAAAAAAAAATGTAAGTATATGAGATATATGAATAACTGAATGTGCCGAACTACAAAGAGCAATACAAAAAAGCAATAAAAGTATCTGTGACTCATAAACAAATGTCAGTGAATACATAGTAAATAAATCAGAAGTGAAGTCTGTAAAGCTTCATAACTCTCAAGATATGTCCATATATAAACAGCAACAGTGATACATATTTCTTGTTCCTTCACCAAATGCACCACACCAGATATAGGGGTGCTCACCTTATTGATAGACCCGAACAAAAGGTCAAATCGAGCAACTCCCTTTTTAACCAGGGGAGGGGACCCTCGACTTCAATCGCTCACATATGTCCTCCAATAATGTAATCACACCAGCAGACAGACCTGTATAACACTTCTTTAGTGAGGAAACCATATCCTCCGATCTTTATTGAACTGTAGGCCTCCTCAGTATAGGATGTCAATACCAAGATCGTGTTATCCAAAAAGAGAAAGCAAACACCACAGCGCATACCATCCAAACAGAGTATGTTTTATTAAAACTAGGGTTGCACAGATACCAAGTACAGTACTCGGTACAAGTACGAGTACATGTACCGATACTTTTGAGCTCCAAGACTACACTAGAAAAAAATTCAAACATTAGGAGGCAGCTCTCATTTGTAAGGTGTATACGGAGCTCCTGGGATTTGTACATCTCTGTTTTAATGTACGATTTTGTTTTTATAAATAAAAATAATGGGATGCACAGATACCAGTTTTGCGAGTACGAGTACTGGTACCTGCCGAGTACTTACAAGTACAAGTACTGATACATTTTTGTTTATTGTCATGTGACAGTTTTTCTAAAACAATACAGACTAATGATTTCAGGGCAGTGGTGGAGTGCCAGAGCCAGGTCCCAGCTGCAACCGCTGCAACCCTGATAATTCTCATGAAAATGCCAAGTATCTGCACTGGTACTCGAAAAGTATCTGTGCATTCCTAATTAAAACAAAATTATTCACATAAAAGCAGCGGTAACATAGCATGGAATCTCTCTTAGGAGTGCAGGAGTTTCAAATGACCGCGGCCGTCGGTCGTAATGATCAATAGTCAGATGCTCCGCCCTACACGCGTTACATCCAGCGTGACTTCGTCAGGGATCATGCTCATTGTTGTAGCTCAGGACATTCAATTATTCATTTTTTCACATATACACTCACAGTGGGTGCACATTCCAGTGCGTTGTAGCTGTTAGCTTGCTTATTGGCGCAGTTCATATATATATATATATATGAGATCCATTATCTGGGATATAATAATGCTTGTATAGGCTCCATCCCGTAACAGGAGGCACTTTGCAAATATTACATTTGAAATTAAAGTGCCACTAAACTCAGGAGTTAAATCTTCAAAATACATTCAATTACCTTAACTAGTAACAAAAATTGCATCTTATTTGTGTATCATTCAGCTGTGGATCCTCAAATCATCTCTGAATTGGTGCTGACACTGTCCTTCCTTCTGGAGGGTGACTACTTTTGTTCCCCATGGTCCCTAGTTGTGTTGTAAAGTATCCGCTCCAAGCTCACGCTCGTGATGGACTATAACATCAATATAAATGAGTAAATTAATGGTGAGATTTTAGTCCATCACGGGAGCGAGCTTGGAGCGGTGACTACTTTACAACACATACAGGGACCATGGGGAACAAAAGTAGTCACCCTCCAGAAGGAAGGACAGTGTCAGCACCAATTCAGAGATGATTTGAGGATCTACAGCCGAGTGATACACAAATAAGTGACATGTTTGTTAATAATTAAGATATTTGGATGCATTTTGAAAATGTAACTCCTGAGTTTAGTGTCGCTTTAAACACTTCCATTCTTATGTTACTTAAAGAATCCTTCTCCTCTTAAAATCGTTTAGAACTCTCCATGAGAAAACGCAGCAATCTTTACATTTTTTAAATATCTATGTAGTGGGGTTGATTTACTAAAGCAAAATAGGCTGTTCACGTTGCAAGGGAATTTGTATATGGCATGGGAATTTTTCTCAGCTTTATGAATGAGGTGACGCTCTGCTGACCTCCATCATGCAATCATGTTCAAGAAAAAATACTGTTTTGCTATTTTGTTTGCTTGTGAT